TCACTATCATCGTATGCGCTGTGTGGCTGCTGGCTCTCACTTATCTGAATCTATTCATCATTCTCATCGTCATCTGTTGTATCCACGTAAGCACCGCCATCTTCTTCCGTGACTTCTAGAAATAACTTTCTGTGTCTTTTCTGTTCCTTCTCGTACGACATTTCTTAATAGATCGAGAGATTGTAACTCTCATATAAATAATATACGAAATTAGAGCATTTTAACTATCATGAAAAACACGACATAATTACGTACCTGGGGTATTCACAGCATCCCACGAAATAAATTCACTACAAAAGTAAACAAACGATCACGAGAGAGGTCCCAAGTAAACTAACAGATGCTATAGTATGTTGCTGAAAAGTACTGATCAACACAGCGCTGTTGCCAATATTTTCACAGAAATACCAACATAATTCGTATTGTGGGGTGTTCAGGCCACCCCGCATACATAATTAAAGGTTAATGAACTTTTTGACCTGTCTTAATCCTGGATAGTTATTCCACCATTCCTAAGACTCCTTTGCATCTATTATTTGATGGGTACCGGTAAGCTGGCCTATTGCACTTTCCTTCGTAGCGCCATTTGTTATAAAGGGTCTTTTCACCCTTGTGTATCACTATATGGTCATTTTGGGGATTCTTTCATAGTTTACGAGAGCTATGGTAGCTTTGCATGCGGGTTTTTTGAGATGATGATTCCACGTAAATCTTTGTTTGAGGTTTATTGGCTTTTGTCACAAATAGAATACTAGTGGTTTTAGTCCTGTAAGTACTCTTATTTTTGTAAATAATACAATACATTTTTTATGCGTTTTTGGACAATTGCTCCTTTTACTTTTTTATTCTCTATAATTAGAACTGTTTGGGATTACCCCAAGAATGTGCTGCAAATCGCTTCTTGACGACAGTTGTTAGATCTCTCGCGTATCTTAAGCACTGGTAGCCTTCGTTGGACAATGTTTCGAGTAGGTCATCCACTAGAACTGACCAGTACATTGCAGATATCATTCTTTCTTGTGGGCAGCCCCGCGTTACTTTCGCTTATATGGTTGCCTTTCTTTGACTGAATAAAATAGTTCTATTTTTTAAGCTGGCAGTGATCTATTGGCATATTGTTACTAGGATTTATACAGTTTAAATTTGTTGATAGCCCAACTTACCTACGTGAAATCGGAGACAAGCTCCCAATCTATTAGAGTTAGTCTGATCCCCTTTTGTTTTCTTGGTCTCCTAGGTCTGGACCTCTAAACTAAATATTAACTTAAACTAAATAAAGAGGCCATGACAGGCTCCTTAAACCGGAAGAACACGTGCCAGAAAACGCATGCGGTAAAATCGACTGCATGTCCAGTTTTGAGTTCATGTTTACTTTAAATAAATATTGATGTAGGGAAATTCCTACACTTACAGCGAAAGTAGCAAAATCGTACGATAAAAAATGCTTGCAAGGGGATTTTTTAATTTTTATAGACGTCTAGAAGCAAATTATTTCATTACCAGCAAAAACAAAAAAAATCATCAATTAGAAATATTAAAGTTTGAAACGTTTCACGACAGCTCCCACTACCGGGACATAGTACATGTTGTTCATTTCCTTGTCCTGTACCCAACTACAAATAGCAAGAAAACAACACGAAGCGATGTATCAAGTTTTGCAGTCAGATGAAGGTCTAAAAACTCTACACTACCAAATAATAACAAAAATATTGTTTCACTAGTTGGTAGTATAAAAACTGCCTCGGGCATTCTCACAAGGTCAGTGCCACCACTATTATACCAGTGGCGTTACTACTAAATTTATCATCAACGCTCGATCCTTTCGACGACACGCGTGTACTCCCGGGTAAACTGGCCCCAATTTTTTGTTCATTAGGACCTGGACAGTTTAAACATCTATTTTGCGTATCTTTCAAAAAATTATACGTCATAATTTTTCCTTATTTTTGGCTTACTACTCTTTTTCATAACTTTGCGAGAAAATAGTTCTCAAAAATATTTAATTGGGTAAATTAGGAGGTTATTTGTTTTTTTTTTTACAAAAGGTATGTTGTTTTGACGAAGCCAATTTTGATAGCTCTTGCATAAGTCGGGTCAAAATATTAAATCATCTGCATCGTGGTATTGGAAACTAATTTATTAAGGCAATTGTTAAAAATATAACTTTCAGAATCTACAGCTTCCTCCTTTACTCGATCCACATAAGGAATATCCCACTAGTCGACATCGCACACCAGACACGATAGTACAAGGACAAAGAAGCGCAGGACAAAATAGCACAAAACAAAATAGCGTAAGGACAAAATAGCGCAAACAAACAAGATATGTTTTTTTAATGAAATAATCCATAACAAGTACGCCTATGAAGTGAATATTTTGAAAGTAGCTCCATCTCTCTCACATTTTAAAATCAGATGAAGCCTATTTTTAGACCCCTACATTTTGTGTTAATACTATTGGGAGATACGTTATTACTTTTATAGTTATTAGCCATTAGCCTCAACCAGATGATTTATGTTTCTTGTGTTATTGATTTAAGGAAATTAATTAAAGAAAACACTATCACTTATTTTGTAATTCCTTGACATAATTTTATTTATATATTGTTCTAGATTTTTAGTGAAACTGACAGCATAAGGTAAAGATACCAATAACTAGTCGATACCTTAAGAAAAATATAATGCGCCTCTACATTTTGATATCAACTCCAGATAGAGCACTTTTATTGTGGTTTAGGTAAACATTCATATTAAAATGATAGATTGTTTTAATTTTCTTTTTGGTAATTTTTTTTGACTTCATGTATTTGCTCCAAAGGTTGACACTTGTAGATTAGCTAGTTCTAGTAGTTGAAATGATTTGCTCCGGTAGTTGACATCCTACTTAGTGAGGTTAATAAAACAAACAATTTCGGATTAATTAATTTATTCATTAATTATGAAGTTACACTAATGGATTCCTTAAACCTATAGCTTACTCTTTTATTCTTCAACACTAATTTAGGCTGCTCCAATTTTTTTAACACTTGACAAAAATGTATTTCGCTGATGTCCTTTTCAACTGCTATAAATCCTTTGTGAGTGTTATCAATGCATTAACAACCTATAACAACAATATTTTCAGATGAAATTAATGTTTGAACAACACACACAAATTTAAACTCCGACGAATTTCGTTTACCACCCTTAAATTGGTTAGGAATATAATCGCTTTCCTTTAATTCACTATAACTCATTAATGGCAATTAAAATATGTCCTCTTCATCTTCACTTTCTTATGTTTCTGACATTTCAGATTCGTGAAGAGAAAACCGAGTAGAAGAATAATTTGAAGAACTTGAAGAAGACGAGAGACATCTTTTATTTGTAGTTGTAGTCCTTTTGGTCGTTTGCTTAGATTCTGCCTTTTTTTGTTCCATATTCCTTTTTTGCTCTTCTCTAGCTAATTTTCGTTCTTTCTTTTGTTTTTCCATATCCTTTTTGGTATTCAACTTTTTAATAAAATATTCCATTTGTGGATAAGTAGCAATGGCTGGTAATTTTTTTTATTCTTAACTTAAATTGGGCCGTCTTCCTTCCTTCCTTTAAAAGGGGAAGGAATGTTTCCTTTATGATTAGTAAATCTCTTCACTAAAGGGGTAGTTTTGAGATGGTGCAGTTCAGTGCTAGTAGAACAAGAAGGTGCATTAATGTTTGTCTCTGGTGCTATTCGTGACTCTGGAGTTGATTCTTCTACAATTATTGGTCCAGCAAGAGAAATGTTTGTATCTTGAGACACTACATCTAAGAACTCCGGTTCTTGTGTGGATGCCAGTTCTTCATTAGATTGCTGAAAAAATTATATTTAGTTCTAGTAGTTCATATGTATATAAAAGTTATGTTATCTTTTCTTCAGTAATTTCAGGTTGGTGGTCATGCCATAATTTCCATAAATTAAATAAAGATGTGTCTTCAGTAGGCCCTTTCCATTCATTTTGACTATCCATAAAATATGTTATTTTATCCTTGCCGATTTTACGTTCTAATATTGTAAAAAATAGTTTGTCCTCTGCAGTTTTCTCATATTTAAAGTTTTAGCTCCTGCACTTGGCTCTCCATTAACCCTAACTGCCGTTGGATCTCAAGAAACCAAGCCACATTTTTTAAATCCGTTTTTTATTGTTAAATCTCTAATATAAGGAAACACTTCTTTTAATACTGTTGCAAAATTGTACTTATTAGGAGGCTCTCCCTTATGTTGAATTTTCCAACCTACAACTTTCTGTCTCCAAATAGTTTTTAAGACATGAAATACAGATACATTCATAGGCTGCATAATGTTTGTAGCATTTGGATATAATGCTATTAATTCAATATTTTTGTCAATACAAAATTGACTAAGTTCTAAGGATAGGTGGGAAACATGTTCATCTAAGAACATCACAACTGGTCTGGGAATACCTTCCTTTTCAAGCCAGGGTACAAAAATATTAGCAATGTATTCAAAGAATAGCAGTCAGAAAGAAAGTTTTCAGCTATACCTAGTGGTATCCTGGTGTACCTGTACACACACTTATGTCCTGCAAGCTTATCTACACATATCTCTTTTTTGTTCTAGTCAAAACAAAATAATAAAATCAAAATTTGAAAAAACTTACCGAAGGTCGTGAAATGTTGTCGTTGTTAGAAGCCATTTTGTGAGTTTGACTAAACAAGTTACTGTCATTCATCGATGGAGGGGAATATACATGTGAAATTTTACTATTGGCTAGAAGAAGATCTTCTGACAAGTATACGTTTAAATTGCGGGAATTAGTAGAAGTAGGTCGTTAAAAAAATTCAACAGAAGACGTATCTTGTAGGATACGCCGTCAAGTTAAGGGTTAAAGTGGTAGTCATCGCTCTGCTTGCGTACATTTCTCTGTATAAACTTTGTGAGATCTAAACAATTTTCTGCAGTTTTTACAACTCCACTCAAATGTGGCTTTCCCAATGTTATAATAATTATTATTTATTTCAGTTGGAGAGTAACAAGCATCAGAGTTTTGGTTAATATAGTAGTCATCGCTCTGCTTGCTCTATCAATGTATGTCGTTGTATTGGTTGTGAAACGATCTACAGAACCGGAAGGAGAAAGCTCATTTTGGAGGAAAAATGAAATTGCTATTGTAATGTCTTTAATTACGTTCGTATTTCCCATGGTTTTCGAAGTTTTGGGACTATTCGAACAATATCATCCAAGAAAACAATTGAGACTACAATTAGGAAGGTATCTTACTTGGTTTTGAATTTTTGCATCTGGTAGAAAGTATTTTTTATTTTAATTTAAAAGTGTAATAATATTTTATTTACAATATATCAATTCAATATTATGTATAATTTATAAGTTACTATACATAGGGGATAAAATGGCGTTAATAAAACCACATAGGCACTTTTACTTATAAGGTTTACCTATAACAGGATACTTTTCGATTCAATTAATTAATTTAATATAAATGGAGAATATAAAAACTGTCTAAGGTGATTCTGTTTTTGAACAATTTGATTGACCTAATTATATTAATTAATAAATGACAAAAGTATAATGTATATAGGGTATTTCAAAAAGGTATGTCATAAATTCTTCCTCAAATAGATTACCAAAAAATAAGTGGATTTGGCTATATTTACCTATATCAAAAAAAGTATCCTACCTAGCTTATTTTTTATTTTAAATGTTCAAAATGCTTTGTATTTTTAACAACGGCAACAGCGTTGGAGCCGTTGTTACCTTAACGGCGTTCTGTCATCTCTTAAGCCTTCAATTTCTATATAATAAAGTTTTTATTTACTGATAAAAAATAATACAGTAGACACGTAATTAACAAAATTTCTTTACAATAAACAAACAGGTTACACCACAGAAGCAGTAGAAATACCTCTTATACGCGCTATTAAATTAACAAAGAATTCTTAATCCAGTATACATATTAATTACACTTATTTACAATAAAAATATAAACTTAAATACAATGTAAATATCTACATCAGGAATTAAAACAATATTGAGAAGAGTCAAAATCAGGGTTCAGTCGAAATTGGGCAAATTTTATAGTCAAAATTTTTTAGTGTAATAAATTATTAAATAAATTGTTTTGGTTTTGTAAGAACTATATTTAAATTCATTTTTTATTGTTTCGGGTAGAAGCGAATATAACTTAGGTGCTAAAAAATTGTTATGTTTCTGCCCAATAGTCTTATTGCAGCGTGGAATGTTGTATACTATTTTTCTTGTTCCATAAACATGTTTATTTTTTAAAATTTTAATATTCCCTTTATTGATTTTTAATAATATTTCTAAACAAAATAATTTCCTAGTATCGAGTACACCAGACTCTTGGTATAGACTATTATTTGAATACAAACGAGGTTTGTTGTAAATCAGCTTAAGTATCCATTTTTGTAATACGTTTAAATGTTCGAGATAATAATCACTCACCCCGCCCCATGCTAGAATGCCGTATGATAATTGCGATTGTACTAGTCCGTAGTATATTGTTTTTAAGTGTTTTATGTCAAGATGTTCTCTTAGATGCCTGAATCTAAATAATAAGTCTCTTAGTTTTTGAGCTATTGATGTTACCTGTAAATCCCATCTAAGGTGCCGATCGATAACTAGACCTAAGTATTTGATTGAGGTAGATTCTAGATATAGCACGGTGTATTCTCAATTCGGGCCTTCCCATTGAAATAATGTCACTACGGGCTGCGACCTTTTTTCATGAAAATCAGATTCCAATTCCCAGCCGATAACCCTTCAATTTAAATTTTGTTTACAAGTATACATAACAACGGCCATATTTAATAGTATATTATTAAACGAGCAATTTATGGTAGCCATTATTCACGCAGGGTGACGTTTGCGTCCCGAGCCGTAGGCGAGGGGCGCAAGTCACCCGAGTGAATAATGGCCATAAATTGCGAGTCTAATACTATACTTTGTCCACGACCATTATGGTTTCTTTATTAAATAAAAGTTAAGTGTGAATGGAAAGTTTTTATTAAACATAGGTAACTAACTGTTGTTTTTTCGATTTTTCGATTTTTCGTTTTTATCGATTTTTTTTTTTCGATTTTTCGATTTTTCAATTTTTTTTTTATTTTTCGATTTTTTCGATTTTTTTTCGATTTTTTTTCGATTTTTTTTCGATTTTTCGATTTTTCGATTTTTTTCGATTTTTTCGATTTTTCGATTTTTTCGATTTTTTCGATTTTTTCGATTTTTTCGATTTTTTCGATTTTTTCGATTTTTTCGATTTTTTCGATTTTTTCGATTTTTTCGATTTTTTCGATTTTTTCGATTTTTTCGATTTTTTCGATTTTTTCGATTTTTTCGATTTTTTCGATTTTTTCGATTTTTTCGATTTTTTCGATTTTTTCGATTTTTTCGATTTTTTCGATTTTTTCGATTTTTTCGATTTTTTCGATTTTTTCGATTTTTTCGATTTTTTCGATTTTTTCGATTTTTTCGATTTTTTCGATTTTTTCGATTTTTTCGATTTTTCGATTTTTTTTTCGATTTTTCGTTTTTTTTTTCGATTTTTTTCGATTTTTCGTTTTTTTTTTTCGATTTTTTTTCGATTTTTCAAATTTTTTTTCGATTTTTCGATTTTTTGATTTTTCGATTTTCGATTTTTCGATTTTTCGATTTTTCGATTTTTCGATTTTTCGATTTTTCGATTTTTCGATTTTTCGATTTTTCGATTTTTCGATTTTTCGATTTTTCGATTTTTCGATTTTTCGATTTTTCGATTTTTCGATTTTTCGATTTTTCGATTTTTCGATTTTTCGATTTTTCGATTTTTCGATTTTTCGATTTTTCGATTTTTCGATTTTTCGATTTTTCGATTTTTCGATTTTTCGATTTTTCGATTTTTCGATTTTTCGATTTTTCGATTTTTCGATTTTTCGATTTTTCGATTTTTCGATTTTTCGATTTTTCGATTTTTCGATTTTTCGATTTCTCGATTTTTCGATTTTTCGATTTTTCGATTTTTCGATTTTTCGATTTTTCGATTTTTCGATTTTTCGATTTTTCGATTTTTCGATTTTTCGATTTTTCGATTTTTCGATTTTTCGATTTTTCGATTTTTCGATTTTTCGATTTTTCGATTTTTCGATTTTTCGATTTTTCGATTTTTCGATTTTTCGATTTTTCGATTTTTCGATTTTTCGATTTTTCGATTTTTCGATTTTTCGATTTTTCGATTTTTCGATTTTTCGATTTTTCGATTTTTCGATTTTTCGATTTTTCGATTTTTCGATTTTTCGATTTTTCGATTTTTCGATTTTTCGATTTTTCGATTTTTCGATTTTTCGATTTTTTGATTTTTCGATTTTTCGATTTTTCGATTTTTCGATTTTTCGATTTTTCGATTTTTCGATTTTTCGATTTTTCGATTTTTCGATTTTTCGATTTTTCGATTTTTCGATTTTTCGATTTTTCGATTTTTCGATTTTTCGATTTTTCGATTTTTCGATTTTTCGATTTTTTGATTTTTCGATTTTTTGATTTTTTGATTTTTCGATTTTTTTAATTTTTCGATTTTTCGATTTTTCGATTTTTCGATTTTTCGATTTTTCAATTTTTCGATTTTTCGATTTTTCGATTTTTCGATTTTTCGATTTTTCGATTTTTCGATTTTTCGATTTTTCGATTTTTCGATTTTTCGATTTTTCGATTTTTTGATTTTTCGATTTTTCGATTTTTTTCGATTTTTTCGATTTTTCGATTTTTTCGATTTTTTCGATTTTTTCGATTTTTTCGATTTTTTCGATTTTTTCGATTTTTTCGATTTTTTCGATTTTTTCGATTTTTTCGATTTTTTCGATTTTTTCGATTTTTTCGATTTTTTCGATTTTTTCGATTTTTTCGATTTTTTCGATTTTTTCGATTTTTTCGATTTTTTCGATTTTTTCGATTTTTTCGATTTTTTCGATTTTTTCGATTTTTTCGATTTTTTCGATTTTTTCGATTTTTTCGATTTTTTCGATTTTTCGATTTTTTTTTCGATTTTTCGTTTTTTTTTCGATTTTTTTCGATTTTTCGTTTTTTTTTTTTCGATTTTTTTTAGATTTTTCAAATTTTTTTTCGATTTTTCGATTTTTTGATTTTTCGATTTTCGATTTTTCGATTTTTCGATTTTTCGATTTTTCGATTTTTCGATTTTTCGATTTTTCGATTTTTCGATTTTTCGATTTTTCGATTTTTCGATTTTTCGATTTTTCGATTTTTCGATTTTTCGATTTTTCGATTTTTCGATTTTTCGATTTTTCGATTTTTCGATTTTTCGATTTTTCGATTTTTCGATTTTTCGATTTTTCGATTTTTCGATTTTTCGATTTTTCGATTTTTCGATTTTTCGATTTTTCGATTTTTCGATTTTTCGATTTTTCGATTTTTCGATTTTTCGATTTTTCGATTTTTCGATTTTTCGATTTTTCGATTTTTCGATTTTTCGATTTCTCGATTTTTCGATTTTTCGATTTTTCGATTTTTCGATTTTTCGATTTTTCGATTTTTCGATTTTTCGATTTTTCGATTTTTCGATTTTTCGATTTTTCGATTTTTCGATTTTTCGATTTTTCGATTTTTCGATTTTTCGATTTTTCGATTTTTCGATTTTTCGATTTTTCGATTTTTCGATTTTTCGATTTTTCGATTTTTCGATTTTTCGATTTTTCGATTTTTCGATTTTTCGATTTTTCGATTTTTCGATTTTTCGATTTTTCGATTTTTCGATTTTTCGATTTTTCGATTTTTCGATTTTTCGATTTTTTGATTTTTCGATTTTTCGATTTTTCGATTTTTCGATTTTTCGATTTTTCGATTTTTCGATTTTTCGATTTTTCGATTTTTCGATTTTTCGATTTTTCGATTTTTCGATTTTTCGATTTTTCGATTTTTCGATTTTTCGATTTTTCGATTTTTTGATTTTTCGATTTTTTGATTTTTTGATTTTTCGATTTTTTTAATTTTTCGATTTTTCGATTTTTCGATTTTTCGATTTTTCGATTTTTCGATTTTTCGATTTTTCGATTTTTCGATTTTTCGATTTTTCGATTTTTCGATTTTTCGATTTTTCGATTTTTTGATTTTTCGATTTTTCGATTTTTCGATTTTTCGATTTTTCGATTTTTCGATTTTTCGATTTTTCGATTTTTCGATTTTTCGATTTTTCGATTTTTCGATTTTTCGATTTTTCGATTTTTCGATTTTTCGATTTT